CCACTGAGATGCTTCAAACCATTTTTAACACTGTTAAAAAATATGTTTAACTTGAATCAGAAATATATACGTCTTCACAATAGTTTATTGTCAAGTTTTGCTCCTTCACAAAAGCTAACTTGTGAATGAATGGCTAGAAAGTACCCTTTTTGCAGGCAAAACTAGCTGTGAAACTGCTGCTATTAAGGAGAATTGCCTTCGAAACAAGTTGATGATCCCGTCTCTAGAATTTATAAAGTACAACTCCCTAACAGGAGTAATTTGCTCTTCGGACTCTGCAGTCATCTTTTGGTGAAAAGAAATATGCTTTAGAAACAAAACAAAACAAAATAAATACAGTCTAGTTTTGACTGTTTTGTTTTTTGTTTATTTTGTTTTGATTTGTATTTTTTTCTCCTGTCACATCATACAAGATGTTTTTCTCCATCCCGCCCCCCCCCCAAAAAAAAAAAAAAAACTTACTGCTAAACATTTTCTTTCTTGAGCACTCATATTTCTGTAGAAAGAAAAAAAAATAGTGTTAAGAAATTATCTTCTCTTTAGCATTAAACTTTTTTGTCTTCTTTGCAGCGATTTAATCTAATTCATTGTAGAGAGGGTATCTTTTAGCTAGGTTCTCTTTAGAAAATTTACTCTTTCTACTGCTTTACAGAGACAAACAGCTTTGATGACTAATATTTTATGTTGAAAACTCATTTTACAAATACAAAATGACCACGTTTACATATAGATTTTTTTTCTTACTAAGGATCCTACTAAAGACATAGCAGTATTTGTTTTTGAATTATAAATTTGATATATTTACCTGTTAGGACTGAAACATTCGCTACAAATGCTAACTAGTCCCATGAAAAGCAGTTTCAATAAATAGCAGCCTGAAATTAGCTCTGCTGCATACAGTTTGATTTATAGGAATTGGAATATAATAGCCTAAAATGCATGTTACAATAACTCTGCTTATCTTTAAAATCAGTATTTCTTAAAGCAAACAATTTAAGTAGAAAAGTCATTTGATAAAAATAATTGGTTCAGGCAAGATAGAACACACATTCTTTTGCCAGATAATGATTCAATGGCTACTCTAACTTCGGTAGTACTTCATTAGACACAATTCTCATTCACATTAAAGTCTTAAGAAAATCCATATTTGTTATTTTTTAAAAATTATTTTTAAAGAAAGTAAACAAATATGGGGAGGAATGGAATAAAATCTCTATCATATCTACTTGCTGTTATTCAATTCCTCAAAAATTTTCTTAGGGGACAGGAATGTCATATGTTCAGTTTTAGGACAAAGGCAGCTTTTAAAATGAAAAGCTTAAGGAAAATCTGTAATGAAGTTTGCTTAACAGAAGGTAGGCTAACTAAGCTCTTGGTTGTAAAAATTATCTAGATCACAATATTAGGATAAAAACTAAAATTTTGTGAACTTTACAACTAATGTAAGACTTGTCTTTAATAAACAGCACCTTTAAAAAATAATAAAAGCAACTTCTCAGATTCACTTTGAGTAACATATTTGGGAGCACATTGTTTTACTGTGTGTGTGTGTGTGTGTTTTAACTTGTGAGTTAAGAAAAATACGTAATTATAAAATGTTTTCAAGCAATAGTCTTTTGCAGGATGGCATATAGTTAAAACAAAAGCTTGTAGTCTAACAATATTAAGTCATTTAACCATTATATATTATTATTGTTATTGCTATTATTATTTGGTTTGGTAAATGACCAAACTATACAGCTGGGTTATCAAAACAATTCAGATTCTTATCTATGTCAGAAAAATGTTCTTTTAATAATTTAGCAGTTAATTAAAAGCTCCTTGCACCTGATTCATTAATATTCGATTTTGTATGTTAAGACCTTTATTCACTTATATTTTACAGATCTGTGAATGCTTTTAACTGCAAATTGTGTTACAGTAAAAAAAAAATCTATTCTAAGCTGGTTGAGTTCATTTAAGAGAGCTTTTACATTATTGCACTTTTTAGTACAAATAAAGTTTCTAAATTTAATACAAGGCTATTGTTAATTTGTTAAGGTTATTTGGTAATTAAAAAATAATTTCATGGATAATAATAAATCTTAACTAATTTCTCAACTACTTTCTATCTTCTACAATTTTTAATTTCTTTAAAAATACAACCATATGATTTATTTTTCAAGGAGTTAGTGAATATACTTAGAATTCAAGCTCTATAATGAAAGAGAGTTTAAAATTTTCAACAGGATAATGAACTACTTGGCTTCAGTTTATCTGTCTTGTACATAACGTGATTTGACAGAACTAACTAGTGAAAACTAACCAAAACTAGGAATCAACAGAGAGAATAGCCAAGAAGGAAAAAGGAAGACTTTCAGGAAATGATATTTTCCCATCAGTGGATAGGCATGCATACATTAAAGGCATAAAAGGCAGCAGGGGGAGAAACAAAAGCTCTAAGCTAAGGATCCTGCAAGTCTGAATTAACTAAATGGAAAAAAAATGAAATCATTCTGCTTAAACTTGTTCACTAATAAAAGGAGAATCGCTTTTGTTAAATATGCTTGGTGTGATTATCAAGCAAAATTTTTTTCTCCCAGACATCCATGAATAAAACATGTGTTTGAGCATTAGGTAAACAAACAATAAATGGATGAGTTCAGTTGCAACATAATAACATTTTATTTAGAAAACATATATAATCATATTTGTATTGGCAATCCAAATTTAATGACTTCTTTCAGTAAAATCAAAGTGCCTTATAAATAACATCTAATGCATAAGGATTGCTTATTCTTTGCCCATTTTTTTCTATTTTCTCAAACAGACAGATTTTAAAGGTCTCTGCTGAGTCATACGTAAACTAGGTGAAGTGTGATTTTTTTTTCAGGAAAAAAATTTTTCTTTTAAATCACCTTAATATTATGTTACACATGCTTTAAAAATAGACTTAAAAATGCATTTCTGAGACTGAGGGAGAAAATGTTTTCAGTCTACATAGCTTGTGCTGATTTGAACAAGGCTGTGTGGCTGAACCAGTCTTTGGCTTATTAGCCATTTCATTAATGCGACGCCTTCTGTAAAATATGAATGAGAAGAAACCATTTACAATAAGGAAAGCAAACAACAGAATGAATTTCCTCTGTTGGTGTTTTATAAGACTGTTAAACAGAAAATGGAGGGAAGAACTCTCTTTAGACGATATCACTTAATTAAGTAAAGCATCCTAATCAGAGTCCCCTCCAATTGTAATGACTGTAGGGAGTCAAGTACATTTCTGTCTATATTAGAGTATCTAACTGCAATGATTTATTGATATTTATTTTAGAAGTACAACACAAAAGCAATAAAACAGTGGAAGCAGGGAGAGGGAACATGCCATTGCAGGTACAGCCAGAACACTTCAACAAAATTCCTAAGTTTCTTGTGGGAGGTTTTGCTTTCTAAAATCAGAGCACACCTTTAGAAAAGAATGTTCCTTTCCAGCATTTGATTTTTCCAAATGTTTTCTGTGACGTTTCTTTGTCCATTGGGAGAATCATTGATTCACTTTCCTCACTGCAAGAATCACTGCAAATGAGTGGATGAACACCTGCTGTTTTCTGCAGTGACATTACTGGATTGCATGCTACACTGATTTTAGTCTTAAAATACAGCTTCTCTGTATGGGAGAGAGATTTGAGGAAGGAGAGTAAATATACTGTATAGGCAGACAGACATTGGCTGCCCTCCAAGTTGCACACAGCATAAACCTGTTTATCTGCCACATTTCACAAATCTTAAAAACATGTGAATAATCAAGCGAGCAACTGGATAAGTGATTCACACTAGGGAACCTAACCAATATTCTGATGAGAGGATACTATGATGCTAAGACATTGGCACAAATAAGACTTGTATTGTAGAAACTGCACATAATAAAGTTCATTAGTGGTTCAAAGGAGAAAACAGTCCACACTAAAATGAATTTGAAGAAGTATCTCAAACCTTCGGACTTTAGTTTGGTCTATTTATCTGGGAAATTGAATATAAAAATGTAGTTTCACCCATTACCACTCCGATAATTGGGGCCACTGGGCCTTTGGGTATCATGCTAGTTGTCAAGATAAATTTATTTCTAGTAATCAAAATTTAAATATGGGGGTGTGTGAGTGTTTTAAACCCCAAAGGACACCTACACATATATTTAAAGTTAAGTTGCCAAATGTGCTTAGAACCTATTCATTTTGGAAAAGCAAATTTTCTTGGAAAGTTATATTCATTTTTATAATTGGAGAAGATGATTTTTTTTGGTAATAAGTGAACTGGGCAAACAAGGCTCTTTATTGCTACATCACAGCTTTCTTTATTTTTCTATTATTTTCTGTTGTTTTTTCTTTATTTGCTGATCTTTTAATTCTCCTTTCCTTTATTTCAGTGATAATTGTGCATTAGCATTTAGCTGTAAATTGGAAGCTCTCAAAGGATGGAAGGCTAACCTCAAAAGTACGCCTTGGTTCTGAAATTTTCTTAAGGTTATTCATGAATTGCAGGCTTGTTTCACGTCCATAAACTAGAACTTGTTTATAATTATAGCAAGATGAGTTATCTACTTGCTTGATATATCAATTAGCTTATAATATAGACCTGTCATTTTACTGTCCAAAAATGTAGGTTTTCCATGTTTGCAAACACAAAATACTATTTCCAGAGAAAAGAGCAATAATACACAAAATAATTAAATATACATTGTATACTCTACAACTTCCACTCCCCCTGCATTGCAGAAAGACAAATTGCTAAAATATTTTGATACTGGAAATTTTGGTTAAATTAGTAGCCAGACATCATCATCTTTGCAACAGAAAGTCTTGGAAAAGGTAGGTGACCTGAAAATTGATGTTCCAAATAATATTTTGTTACATTTAAGTTTCAAAGCCTTGCCCCAAGAGAATGTACATTGAGACTAGTGCCAATTGTACTTGCCAAATGTTTTTTCCCGCCTTGACATTTTCTCATCTTCTTGCTTCTTGTCTCAGGTTCTCTTTCTTCAAGATCAGGCCACAGAGACTGACTGAATGGCTCCAATTATCAGGATGTGAAAATCTAAATCAGAATCTACCACTTTGTGTAAGTCTGCCCTGAGCAGTCTCTTCTTTAGCAACAGAACACTTGCATAATATGGGCTCATCTTCTTCACTTCTCCCCGACTTTGTAAAATATGATAAAAAATTTCTTTTCATGATTTTAAAGTCAATTGCATGGGGAATCTTGCAGGAAACACAACATAAAAACTAAAAAGAATTCCTTAAAAGATGTGTCCAGGTAGGTGAAAAGTGGAAGTTTGTGGGCACTCAAGGATGATACTCAAATTACTAACCATCTAGTAAATAGTCTGAAGGCTGAACACAGGAAATTTTACCAAGTTTTCTGCATGAGTTGGGTTTTGAGTATATACAAAGCTGAGGTCCATTCTGTGAACATCAATTAAGGCCAACCATAGCTGTTTACTCAGCCATAAAACCCCCCTTTTAAGTTTTTTCTTGTTTTTGTGGTACTGGGGATCATGCCTATGAAGCAAGTGCTCTATCCCTGAGCTACACCCCCAGCCTAAGGGTTTTTAAAGTGATGATTCTTCTGAGTCAAGAGTGATCATTAAACTCTATATAATCTATATACTGCAGAAACCTTAGAAACAATAGCTTGATTGCAAGTGAACTTTGTAATTATAAAAGCAATACAAAACATATAAAGTAAAAAAAAAAGTTCCTTTTGTTCTCCAAACCCATCCATTCCCCAACAATGAATATTAGAAAGAGCCTCAAATATTAATAGATACTTTTACTAATGTATATTAGTTGTACAAACTAGTGGGTTTCACTGTAGCATTTGCATACATGAATATATTGAGCTTTGATCATATCCTCCTTCCCTACTACCTTCTCTCACCTTCCCCTTTTTCCCCCTCCTCCCAGTCTCCTTTCACCTACTCTAATTGTTCCTCTACGACTTTCAGGTCATTTTTTTTGCAATTCTAGATTTCACAAAGGAGAGAAAATATGTGATACTTTTCTTCTTTTTTGTCTAACAGATATTTTTATTCATATGCAAGTATTTCTTCTTTTAAATCACAAAAAAATCATATAATATATTTACTATTTTGAGCTTGCTTTGATTTTCCATGGCAATATATGTTGGCTACTGCACCAGCGCTATACATGGGTTTACCTCATTCCCTGTAGCTGCAGGGATATTACATAATGTTATTATGGATAAAATCATTACCACATTGATGAATATTTAGCTTACTTTTATTTAATCTTTGCTTTACATAATAGTGCTTCAGTAAACATATACATATTTTTATGTACTTTGTAAATGTACTTTCAAAATTAACTCCTTGAAATGGAATTTCTAGGTTTTACACATTTTCGGTGTTGAAATTATATTGCCACATTACTGATACAATAAAAAAGTTGTACCAATTCACCTTTTCCTGACAGATTTTGAGAGGCAGTGATTTTGACAAGGGCTATGATAGGTCATGTGTGTGAAGTGTCTCTTTTATCTCTTCAAAGGTGGCTAACACAGTCCAGTGGCAGCTCTGATGGTTAGTGATGACCAGGTGGAGAGAGCACCTCTAACATACCTGCTAGGGTAGAGCAGTGCTAGAGAGGGGCATGCCTGGGGGAAAAGACTGCCATCAGCTTAGGAACAGGTCTGAGTTTTCACCTGGGCCCTGTGCAACAGTTTTCCTGATAATTATGGGGGCTGCAGTGCAGCTCTCTCTGGCTCTCTCTCTCTCTCTCTCTCTCTCTCTCTCTCTCTCTCACACACACACACACACACACACACACACACACACCTCTCTCTCTCTCTCTCTCTCTCTCTCTCTCACACACACACACACACACACACACACACACGCACCCTTCCATCTCTGTACAGACTATACTCTGAACATCCATTTACCTTTCTTCTTTACCTGGGCCTGGCTTCTGAGGAAGTGCTATTCTCAGTCACCTGTGGCTGATCTTCATCAGGCAAGAATTCTCTAGGCTTCCTCTCTGTTTTGCCCTTCAGCCTCACTGTGTGTGATTAACCCAGAAATTTACCTGACTTTGACCCAGTCCCTGAATTTGAAGAGATAGTTTCATCCTGGAAAACTTCTACTCCGTATTCAATACTTTTATTTTTATGAGTCCCATTTTTATCTTGAAATAGAAACACCTTGATCTCAGCCTTTAAATTGAGGGGTTATAGTTACACTAGGAAGTTCAGTTGGTATTTAACTGTACTGTGGTAAAGGCTGTAGAAGTAAAGATAAATGAAACCCAGTTGATGTCTTCCAGAAGCTCATAAAATAGTGAGGAGGTAGATAGCATTAACCAAGTAGAGGTCACACTTTTGAGAAGTGTTGTAACAGATATTTAATTTGTAAAGTTCCAGTTCTGGAACTATGCCTTACAGATACACCTGTACATGTGCAAAAAGATTTATAAGCAATTTGTTCACTGCAAAGTTGTATGTAATGGTAAGGTTTAACAAACCTGATTGTTGACAATGACACTCTGTATCATTTAAGAAATGTCTTCCTGAACTAACATGCAGTGATCTCCAGGATATGTTTTATATGAAATTGCAAGTTATGTGCATAAAAAATCTAGGAAATAAAAATATGTATTAATGCTTATTTGTATATGCAGTCATGTGCCTAATAGCAATTTGGTCAATGACAGACCACAAATACCATGGTGGTTCCATAGACTACAATGGAGCTGAAAATTTTCTGTCACCTAGAGACACTGTAGCTGTGATGTTGTAGCACCAGGTATTACTCATATGTTTATGGTGATATTGATGTAAACAAACCTACTGCACTGCCAGTAGTATAAAAGTATAGCAAGTGCAACTATGTATAGTATGTAATACTAGATAATGATGACAAATGACTTTTTTTAATATTTATTTTTTATTTGTAATTGGACACAATACCTTTATTTTATGTATTTATTTTTATGTGGTGCTGAGGATTGAACCCAGGGCCTTATACCTGCTAGGTGAGCACTCCACTGCTGAGCTACAACCCCAGGCCCCAACAAATGACTGTTACTAGTGTATTTACTATATCAAGCTTTTTACCATTAAAGTGTACTCCTACATACTTAAAAAAAAAAACTTTATTATAAAAGTATGCCACATCATCTTGATTGCATAAAGGGGCCACCTGAAGTCATTGGTCTGTACCACATAGGTATACTTCATAAATTGCTCACACAATGATGAAATCATCTAGTGATGCATTTCTCAGAATTTACCCCATCATTAAGTAGTGTATGACCGAACATACATTGGAAGTCCCCAAAGGAAAGATTAGCAAGTGCTAGTCTATAGGGGACATCAGGGATTGGGGGATGGATGGAAAAAGGGAATGAAATACGACTTTTCAATATATTCACTTTTAGGTCATTTAAATTTTTGAACCATGTTAATATATCATCTATTTTAAAAATCATATTAAATAATTTTAAATTTCAAAATAAAATTCCTTCTTTCCAAACTTTGCATTTTCCTAGGTGTTTGGGAGTACTTAGATACATTTACTGGAGATAAAGAATATTTCTCTGGGGCTGGGGTTGTGGCTTAGTGGTAGAGCACTTGCCTAGTACGTGTGAGGCCCTGGGTTCAATCCTCAGCACCACATATAAATAAATGACAATATTGTGTCCAACTACAACAAAAAAAATAATAATAAAAAGAATATTTCTCTGAACTGGAGAAAGAAGCCTTCTTAGGGACCACTTGATTTTTTAAAATATTTTTTTAGTTGTTGAGGACCTTTATTTTTATTTATTTATATACAGTGCTGAACATTGAATCCAGTGCCTCACTAGGAAAGTGCTCTACCACTGAGCCACAAGCCCAGCCTCTTGACCGCTTGATTTTTGTTGCTACATGGTAGATCCACTGTCTCATGGAAACGAGAAAAAGTTCTACAAAGTTCTCGGAGATGAAATTTCATATAAATAGGACACCCATAAGACATGGGAGCTATTTTAGGAGTAGATTATAGCCTTCAAACTTCCTATTGGCAAGGCTGTTCAAGAGTGACCTTCTTAGGGTTCCCATGACGTCTTGGTAGTAAAGACATGATTTGTTCACATCTTCAGTTTGCCTGCTTACATCACGAAGGTAAGCAATATGAAATTTTTCTTCTTTAAGTTATAAGTAAAGGTCCTATGCTGAGTTACAAATAAGAGAATTTATCTGTCTTGTAACAAAATTGCTTTTCTTTAATGAGAATGTGCTTCATAAATTTCCCAGAACATTGAATTAAAGTGATTTGGGGAAAGATATCAAGATAGAATTAGATCTTGAGAATTCTCTGGGGACTTCCATGAATTGAAATTTGGACATTTTGCAAGAAGATAATAGAGCATAAAATAACATGTGAGAAAAAATGTTGATGATTTATGATTATAAATGACAGTATGCTTATAAACAACAGAAGATTGTTGAAGAGTGATAGTCTCACAAGTCACACAAGGACATGAAAGGCCTCTGGTCGATGAGGGGTACTTTACTTCCCTGTACAACTCTGCATGGAATCTCCTCACTGCTACTGCTACTGCCCTGCCTCTTCAGCTTGTTTTACTCACTTTGTCCATGAAACTGTACCCAGGGGATAAGCCCTACCTAGGAAGCTGGGGACAATTGGCTGGAGGTATGGAGGTAGGTAAGCACAAGGTGAGTGACATCCAAGTTTCTTTCATTGCTCCCTCCTCCACTTACCACTGCTTTCCAGAAGTGCCATTTAGTCTCTCAGCTGGTCTCAAATCAGTCCTGAGGAAAGGATCTGAAAATCCTGACTTAGGAATGAAACATTCACATGTGATAAAGTGACCTTATAACTCATCTAGCCTAAATCTGGTGTCAGTTTATTTTTAAAAGTACTAGTGAGTCGCTATTTTATTTTATGAGATTACCACACAAATGTGAACCTATTAAGTGAATTATTGCCAGCAATCAAGGTCACTTGTTACATAACATTAGCAAGAGGGACTCAGGTGAGAAACAACTCTGATTATAGGTATTTAGTCCAAATGTACATCAGTTTTAACTCCTTAAATGTATTTCTTTTAGCAGCTAATTGAAATACTTTAAAAGTCTTGACACAACAGTTATACAAACATACATGTAACAACATGGGAAATTAAATGAGACTTATAATATACATCTTAACAAAATGATGGCTTAATTTGTACTCCTTTTGTAATTTTAACTAAATATTGTGGTGAGTAGTTCTTACATTAAATCCTAAGTATATGGGCATTTATTACACACAATATGAAAATACTTCAGGAGGCTTGTGATTAACGCTGTGGTATTCAGGCATAGTTTATAGAGATTTTCAATCAAAGACAAAAGGCCCAAGCAGATGATGAAACACATGAAAAAGATGTATGTATATAGCCAAGGACTTAATTCAGACTTGCTCATATTAGCTCAGTTCTAGTTCTTGGCCTATCAGGCATGTACTCAAACAAGTATCCCCTGAGACTGGCTCAAGGCTGCCCTATGGATTAACCCCTAGGGGAGGGTGGCCATGTAAAATACAGAAGATTAAGTTAAATTTAATTTCAGATAAGTAATGAAAATTTTTTAGTACAAATAGGTCCCAAATATTGTATGTTATGTACTGTACTAAAAATTAATTGCTTATTATAAATTAAAATATCATTGGATATCTTTTATTTTTATTTTTTCTAAATCTGACAAACCTACCCAAGAGGTTCTAAAGAACACCCACGTATCACCTCCTCTTGTCCTCTGTGACTGAATTGGAGTATGCAGACATTTGCCCTAGTATGTATGTGCTTACTGTCTGAAACAAGATGACTGACAGATTTGAAATTTCCAGAACAGAATTTTAATCTAGCTGAATCTCTTCTTGGATACTATCTGCTATGGTTTGGATGTGGTGTGTTCCCGGGAGAGTTCATGTGTTGTGCTTTCCCTGCCCCTTAGTGTGGTAGTATAGGGGTGGTGGGGCCTACTGGCAGGTCACTGAAGGCACTGCTCTAAATGGGATCAAGGTAGTTCTCATGAACCCTGAGTTAGTCCTAGGTAGATCAAGTTGTTTAAAAGCAAGCCCAATCCCTAAGCCCCTAAATCACTCTCCAAACTTCTGTCTCAGGATATGATGTCTTCTTCCCAAAAGTGCTCCCAGCATTATAGCACCATTTACCATGGGGCCCTCCCCACCACTAGGAGCTGATGCCTGTACCATGCTACTATGATTGAGACATGAGGTGTCCCCAGAAGTTTATGTGTGAGACAATGCAAAAATGTTCAGAAGTAAGATGATTAGATTATGAGAGCAGGATTAATCCACTGATATGGATTAAGTAGGTGATAACTATAGGCAGGTAGAGTGTAGCTAGAGAAAGTAGGTCACTTGGGGTGTGTGCCTTTGGGGTTTATATTTTATCCTTGGTGAGTGGAGCTCTCTCTCTGCTTCCTGGTTGCCATGTTCTGAGCTGCTTCTCTTTGCCATGCCCTTCTGCCATGATATTCTGTCTTACCTCAGGCCTAAAGGTATGAAGTTGCCAACCATGGACTGAACCTCTGAAACTATGAACCAAAATACACTTTTCATCCTCTAAGTTGTTTTTGTTAGGTCTTTTGGTCACAGTGATGCAAAGCTGACTAAAACATCTCCACGACAGTGAGCTAAATAAACCTCTTAATAAATTGACCCAGCCTTGGGTATTTTATTATAATAACAAAAAAGGACTATTACATTGCCTTATTTCTTATTATTTAGGCTTGTTCCTTCTAATGGAACATTTTGTTCATACTTTCAAATAATTTTTTAAACATAGTGATTGAAGAGGGACATTGGCAACCATGTCACTAATTGTAATGCAAAGAAAATTCTAAGGTCTAACTTCTTCTCTTTGCTCCTCTCCTTGAACTTGGAGCCAGTATTTATTTTTCAAATGCATGTCTGCCAGGTTTCTGTTCTCACGACTAAAAGGCTCAGTGGTCACTCCAGTTAAACTGGGCTGACTAGGCTGCACCAAATAACCACACAAGAGACACAAATACCTTTTTCTTTGGGGTCACTGTGATGGCTCCTCTGACCTTAAGGGTCCGCAGAAAGAGAGAGAGCGAGAGCACATGCTGACCCCTTTTATGAGGAGAAGCTATTCAAATGAGTCAAAGGGTCAGGTTTCAGGGGGCTGAGTCTATCTCATGATGTCCACTGTCAGCAGGTTGACTGACACCTGAGTAGGCCACACCCAAGGGCACAGTAAGAGAAGGGGACACACATAAGGCACTTCCATGGAAGATTCTATCCTAAACAGGGCAAGGGGTAATGTTACAAAGGAACAGGTGAGCATAGCTTCACCCATGGGGCTGTAGCAAGACACACCCATGCACGAGACCCTCGAACCTAAGAAGGGTGGGGAAAGCTCTGCCACATTTCTGTGACTGAGCGCCTCAGCACCCAGCCGGGGAGTGTGACTCAGTCAAGTGCAAGGTTGGTCTCACACACATGTCCTTAAGATTTGATATCTTCTTTTCTTTTCTTTCTTGCTTGGGATTGAACCCAGGACACTCTACCATTAAGCCATATCCCCAAGTCCTTTTTAATTTTTATTTTTGAGATAATGTTTTGCTAAAGTTGCCTCAAACTTTTGATCTCCCTGCCTCATCCTTCTGAGTCATGGATTACAGGTGTATGCCACATACCTGGCAAATGCCTAGGTTTTAAAGGGCATATAGATGTGAAATGAAATAGGAGGGTTCCTTTTGGGCTAAGTTTGTACCCCTGGATTAGTCTTTTGGAGCTTTGGTAAATGTAGTTAAGTTTTATTTTAATCAATTAATTTATTGTGCTGGGGATTGAACCCAAGGGCCCTGTACCATTGAACTACATCTCCAGCTCTTTTCATTTTTTATTTTGAGATGGGGACTTGCTAAGTTGCTTAGGACCTTGCTAAACTGCTGAGGCAGGCCTCAAACTTTTGGTCCTCCTCTCTCAGCTTCCTAAGCCACTGGGATTAGGCATGTGCCACCATGCCCAGCTGGGTAGCTACTTTTAAATATTTAATTTTAAATTAAACCTTGGTTTTCTAAGTCAAGGAAAATGCCACCACTACTAAAATTTAGCAACTAAAGCAACGAAACAGCAATGTGGTAGAGTAGAGAAAAAAAAATATAGAGTTGGCAGATCTGAGATTGAGTCCTGGCTCTGCACCTGAACTGACTGTGAGATTCCAGGCAAATCATTTAGCCTTCATGACTTTCAATTCCCCTCCAACAAAATAGGAATTATAAGGCAGTTATGAAGAGAGACAGTATATATAGAAATCATTTGTAAACTTCAAGACGAATTTAGATGTTTGAGGGAATGATGATAAAGATCATGCTCAGGATATAAACATTCTAGCAAGTCAGTTATTACAGAGAAATTTTAATTTATACCTAAAATGTTTGTTACTTAGTTCACAAGAAGTATATATATGATCATTTTATATATATATATATATATATATATATATATATATATATATATCATAATTATATTGATTGAGAAAAGAAGCAAAACACAATAAAAACAAACCTAATTCCATATTTTAGAAAACAGCTTACTAAAAGATTTTGTCTAAAAATTGAATGTTTGAAGTAGAATATTTTATTTATTTAGGTTGACATTAAGAAATGAATAACAGAAAGGAACACTTTTGAAAAACATTTCATTTAAAGCCTTTTATAGCGTGGCATGGTGGCACATGCCTGTAATCCCAGAGGTTCGGGAGGCTGAAACGGGAGGATTGCAAGCTCAAAGCCAGTTTCAGCAATGGCAAGGTGCCAAGCCACTCAGTGAGAACCTGTCTCTAACATACAAAATAGGGCTGGGGATGTGGCTCAGAGTTCAAGTAAGTGCCTGAGTTCAATTCCTCATACCTCCCCAAAATTAATAAATACAGCCTTTTACTTTTATTTTCGGGCAAATAATTATTCAACATCCAACCTGTTTATTTTGTAAAAACATTGGCAAAGTCTTCTTAACCCACTTATTATTATTTTTATGAACATAACAGCTTGGAGTTTTAAAAAAAATTTTGTTCTAATTAGTTATACATGACAGTAGAATGCATTTTAACACATCATACATAAATAGAATATAACTTCTTTTTCTTCTGGTTGTATAGCATGTAGAATCACACTGGTTGTGTAATCATATATGTATATAGGGTAATAATGTTCAATTCATTCTACTATCCTTCCTACCTCTGTACCTTTTCTCCTCCTTTCACTCCCCTCTGCCTAATGCAAAGTACCTCTGTTTTTCCCTAGCCCTCATCCCCTTATTGTGAATTAGCATCCACTTACCAGAGAAAACATTCAGCCCTTGGTTTTGGGGGATTGGTTTATTTCATACAGTATGATACTCTCCAGCTCCATCCATTTACCTTCAAATGCCATAATTTCATTCTTCTTTAAGGTTGAATAATATTCTATTGTGTATATATACAATATTTTCTTTATCTCTTCATCTGTTGAAGGGCAGCTAGGTTGGTTCCATAGTTTGGCTATTGCGAATTGAGCTGCTATAAACATTGATGTGGCTGCATCACTGTGGTATGCTGATATTAAGTCCTTTGGGTAAAAACCATGGAGTGGGATAGCTGGGTCAAATGGTGGCAGCTTGGAATTTTTAATGCATGGTAAAATCTTTGGTAAGATCTTAAGAGTAGCTGGGTGTGGTGGCGGATGCCTGTAATCCCAGAGGCTCCAGAGGGTAAGGCAGGAGGATGGCAAGTTCAAAGCTAGCCTCAGAAACTTAACGAGGCCTTAAGCAACTTAGAAAGACCCTGTCTCAAAATAAAAAATAGAAAGGGCTGGGTTCTCCTACCCTCCAAATCCTTAGTGTATAATTTGCTCAGTAATAAAACAGAGAGAGAGAGAGAGAGAGAGAGAGAGAGAGAGAGAGAGAGCAAGAGAAGAATTTGGGCCAGATGTCCCCTGGTTCCTTTTAGCATTTGTGTCTTGTGCTAAAGGAACTCAGACCAGTTCTTGTGAAGGCTGTGGGAAAGCTGAGACATATGGCACTGGGTGCCAACTCTGATTGAAGGGTATTCTTTTTTTATTTTACTTCATTTTTTACTACACAACCAATGTGTATGGGTCATAGAAAACTAGAAGAGGTGGTAAAATTGAAACAGAGAGCTTAATCAAGATCCCGACTCCACCTCCAGAGATTTGGAATGCTGGAGAGATGTCGGTTTGTGTCTTCATGTGTGCTCTGTGCTCGATGAAGGTGCAGTGTTCACCTCACTCTGTCAGACTCTCCCAAGGGGATGCAGTGGTCTATACAGAGGCATTGCACAAAAAGTGCATCTTAACCAAGGCCCTGAAGTGGTATGGTTAATAAAATTCCACTAAAATAGTTCTTGCAATGACAAGACAAACATGGAAATTAAACCTCTACATTTTAGGATTACACTTCTTATACCTTCTTTATTTCCATTCACTCAACTCCTCCCCAATATTCTGAATAAAACACAAAACTTTTCCAGAAAAACTCAGAATATAACTTAGTGCTAAAAGTCTTTGTCACCAAACTCTGAGCTCCATCCTTTATAGGGATTCAAATTGCTTTTCTTTGACGTCTACTTCACACACATGGGCTTGAGAGTAAGTGAGATGGGGTTCCAGCTCTAGGCTAAAAGTGTCCACCTTTAAAACTTGGTATCATCTGTCCTGGGAAGGAGTTAGGGGAGGGGAATTGAGTAGGATAAGCCTGGCCCAGTTGTTGCAGCAGAAGAGTTATTCCAAGTACCTCGGGTTTGGTTGTATTTGCCCCAGATTTCTGTGAGCTCAGTTCTGAATCCTGGGTGAGAATGCATGGTGCATAAAAACCAGAAGATCCATCTTTTCTTCAAAATAATTTTTTTATTTGTTCTTTTAGTTATACATGACAGTAGAATGTATTTTGACATATACTTGGAGTATAACTTCCCATTCCTGTGGTTGTACATGATGTGAAGTTACACTAGTCGTGTATTCATATATGAACCCAAGCCTCTTTGAAGAGCTAGCCATTATTGATTTGCCAACATCTAATGCAAAGTGTAAATGCAAAGGCATTCTTCTCCACTGTTTCACAAACCACTGAGAAATGTTGGCCTGTGTGTGTTCCAGAATTTTGGTGGCAGTGCCCAACAGAAGGGCAGATGTCCTGGTGCTTGTGCAGGAGGCAGCAGCTCTCAGAGAGGCATAAATCTGGGGGTATTCAGAGTGTGGTGGGACCTTGAAGTATTCCGGTTTACAGTAGATACGTTTGTATCTGCAGGACACACAATGGCATTCAACAGAGCAAACATAGAAATCACATCTTTTACAATCATAAGCAAGAATTTTGAGATCCATCCCAAGAAGTGTGTGTGTGTGTGTGTGTGTGCGTGCACATACACCTTTTTGGAGGGCAAATATCAGAGAGAGGGCTCTATTTCAGACATCTTGCTTCACTTCCTAAAACCAGTTCTAGTGAGAAAATGATGATTCTTTCCATTATTTGAAAAATTGACTCATGGACTCAAAACCTTCCTCTGGTTTCCTTTGAAACTTTAATTTGATTTAGGCATCTCTGCCTCTCACTCCAAAGTTTTTGACTAATAATAATACTTATCTTGTAGGGTTAGTAGGAAGATTAAATAACATAATATGTGTTCAGAACTTAATATGTGTCCACATAATACGTGTCCAAGCACACAGTAAGCCTATTTCAGTATTAACTCTAATTTGATGGCTGCCTAAATTCACCTTCCGGACAGGCCTCACTTACTACCTCATGTGCTATGAGAGAGATTTAGGCTTAAATTGTGATTCATCATATATCAACTATATGTGCATGGATAAAGTACTTAACTTCTTGGGTATTTTGAATTAATCCTGCAAATATGGCACTATGTACCAGGCATTATGCCAGGTGTTGAAAATTCAGAGGAACAGCTTAAGCATGGCCCCTGCCTATAAAGCACCCCAAATCTGGGATGTGGGGGACAGACAGCTAAATAAGTGACTACAGTTCAGAACTGTATGGACATAAAATGCTCACTTATCTGACTTGAGGTGGACCAATAGTTAGTAGATTAATCAAAAGAGTCAGTGGAGAGTCATACAAATATTATCTATTTGTCTTAAATATTCTATTTCAATTTAAGCAGATTAGGGTTTGCCAGGAGACAGAGGAAGGGAGAGTACAAGGTGTTCTTCTGGGGTTATGAAAAAAACTTGCAACTAGAGAGTGGTGGTTGCACAATATCATCAATCATTAAAAACCACTGAATTTTATACTTTTTAAAAAATTTATGATTTTACAAGTATATTACACTTTTATATAATTGTGGAGTTTAGTAAACGTCTAATTGTATATTATATGAATTTTATCTCAATAAGAAAATATAAATGTGCATTATTTTGCCAGTCTTTTGATTAGGACTAAGAACTTTAGGTTTTTGTTCAGTTAATTTAAGTTATCTTTCCAGTATAAATCATATCCATAATATAGGTTTTTAAAAAATATTTATTTTGTACTTGTAGTTGGAGCCAATACCTTCATTTTATTTATTTTTATGTGTTGCTAGGGATCAAACCCAGGGCCTCGCATGTGCTAGGCATGTGCTCTACTAAGGAGCCACAACCTCAGCTCCCATAATATAGTTTTTTTGATTGTTTTGACTTCCTTAAATTGGAGGAGAAATGTATTACCTACAAATCTATTTCAAGATAGATAGAATCTGCTTAGATTTTTATAATAATTTTTTCCATTTATGGCTTTACTTCTCTTATTTCTTTTTTTTTTTCTTTTGTGTGGTACTGGGGATTGAACTCAGGGCCTTGTACATACAAGGCAAGCACTTTACCAACTGAGCTACATCCCCAGCCCATAGCTTTACTTCTTTATATATAACATGACAATTTTTTGGCACTTCACATTTATATCTTTGGACATAACTGAAATAGAGAACATGGAGCAGATCTGGTCGTGGGGGGAGGGGAATGAATTCAGCTTGGAATACATTGAATTTGAGTTTTAAAGCAACTGTGGGTTGGCTGGGCATGGTGACACAGGTTTATAATCCCAGCTACTTAGGAGGTTAGGGCACAAGAATTGCAAGTTCAAAGTCAGTCTGTGCAACTTAATGAGACCTTGTCTCAAAATAAAATAAAAAGAACTAGGGATGCAGCTCAAAGGTAGAATATTTGTCTAGCATGTGCAAGGCCCTGGGTTTGAACTCCAGTACCATAAAAAATAAAATAAAATAAAATAGAAGGGCTGGGGATATTCATTAAGTAGCTAGACAAATAAATCTAAAATTGAATTTCAGAGGTTAAAGTGGCCAAAAATTCATGTAAGGTAAAAAAAATGGAAAACATGCAATCAATTTTACCCAGAGGAGGTAAAATTTCACATTGGTGAAAGCAATTTTAGAAAGAAGGTGACACAGGAGACAGATGGTAGGAGTGGAGGGGTATACGGGCATGAAATAACCATTTGTGGGTAATCAGAGCATTAGGACTTTGAAGATGATAGAGTCGGGGGTGCAGCAGTTGGAAGGGGAGTAAGGGATGAGTAAGAACATGTAAATGTTTCAGAGATGCATCAGTACGAAGGCAGAGGTTGCAAATGCAAGCAGGAGAAGGAATAAATGGGGATTAGATAGAGAAACCCATACGTGTTAGGGACCACTGTTGTGAGGGATAAATGAGTGAGACCACATGGCATGCATGTGCCTTGTTAGTTCCTTCCCTTATCTATCTACTGCCTTGCTGAGAGCCATCCTTTCCTCTATTATGTCTCATTTTGTTCTTATCTACAATCTGCTGTGAGTACATTGGCCTGGGCCTTCCTGACTGCACACCTGTAGTTTTAGAAGTCACCCATGTAATTCCAGATGGACATTTAAGTTTAGAAACTAAGACTGGCCTAATGTCTTACCTATACCTTCTTCCCACATATGTCCACAATGCCTACAGTGAGTTTCATTTCACAACTTCTTACTTGCATCCTGATTCTTATTCAGCTGCTCAGCAGAGGCAATAGGCTCCTTGTTATACCTGAGTTGTCTCATGTGCTCACTCAGACTTTCTTAGCTCTCAGTTTCCTTCACTAAGCCAATATGGCATATTCTTGTTCATTGTAGAAATAAGTTCTCTTCTCCCCAGAGACTTGTTCCAATAAACATCTTTAATTATTAAAAACAATTGTTAATGGCATTAGATACTCTGTTCAGGACTTTCACACAGCATTCAAAAAACAATTAAGTTTCCCTTTATTTAGCTCCATTTGACACATCCTGTTTCCTCATTGCTCACACATAAGCCATTTCTGTCATCATTTAGAACCCCTCCTCACCATTACTGGGAGGCAGTAGTGGTTGTTTTTTAGTATTTTGGTGTATTTCTTTCCAGTGCTTTAGAAAAACATAGTTGAAAACATACTGTACTTTTTTCACTTGCTATTTTAATATAAGCATTTTCCTGTTAAAGTTATTAACTATGATTTTTGATAACTGCCAGATATTCCTTTTTCCTACAGGTGTTCCAAGTTTCACTTGGCCATCTTCCCATACTTAGACACATTGGTTTGCATGTGTTTACACATACATTTTTCTTTGCTTTGCTGATTATTCCCTTACACTAGGCTTCTGGAAGTGGGACTGTGATGGCAAATATTTTAAAAAGCATAAGAAAGCTAGTTTCAATTTAAGAATTGGAGATGATGTTGTTTTCTCACCAACAGAGTACTAATTTTTCAGGTTCAATTGAGCTTTCACACACACACACACAAAGAATGGCTAGTGCTGAGGATGTCGTTCAGTGGTACAGCCTTTGCCTAGCATGGATGAGTCCTCAAGTTCAATTCCCAGTACTGTATTAAAAAAAAAAAAAGAAAGAAAAAAAGAATGGCTTTATGAATCTCTCTTTTTACATTTTTATAAGTAGTATTAGCTTCTTCATCTTAAAAATATTAACCCTGCAATTGTTTATAGTGTTACATACTCTTTTAAGAGAACTACATAGATCTGGTCACTGCGTAGAAGTTCACAGTCCAAGGAAGATGTGCTGATGATGCGGCATGCATGTTGAAGATTCACTGAGTGCAAATACGGGTTATGACCCCAGGGATGGACCTCCGAAGAATCGAGGTAAAGAGTCGAGATAATTTAGAGGATCAGCCTGAGGGAGGGGAATAGATCAGAGGGGACCCAGCTGGGACATCCAACCTTCACCTGGGCCAAATGTAAAGAATGAATGTGTGGTGTGCCCATTCCCTCTGAAGGTCTCTGTTGTAATCTATTCCCTCCTCTTTTCCAGAGCATAACAAGTGGCAATTCTCAGAAAGGCACTGTAACTACCACATGCTGGGCTCTCTAACTTCCTTCCTCATTTTCCTCTTCACTCACATTTGCCATATCTCTTTTTTTGTCCCCCAGCCCTGCTTCAGGCCCCAGACTAATCCTGCCCCAAATCAGTGAAGGTGGCTGGCACTGGTTTGAAGAGCTTACAGAAATCTCTTGTGGCTAGTCAGCTTGGAGTTCTTTTTGGAAACCACAGGCCCTAACCAGGGCTGACAGACTTCAGACACCAGGTGCTGCCCATTTGTCACTTAGCACCCCCAGGTACTGTGCTTCTGTGGCTCTCTCCTCCGCTCATTCTGTGCTGCAGCTGTCTCATAAGGGTCTGCCCTCCCTGACATCACTAAAGAGACCATCTATATTCCAGGGACAAACCCATCCCTGTCTGCCACACTCCCATTGAAGATAAAAATAACATTAACAACAAAAAAATATTTAATTTACTATCATTCATTTAACCATTGGACTTTCCATTCCTGGACATGACACAGGGCACACTATAGCTTATTCCTTAAAAAGATCTGATAATAACTGTAAACAAATATATTGGGCATATTATCATTGGCATAAAAACTAATATCCAGTCTACCCAGTACAAGCTTAGGGGAGAGGGAAAAGCAGAACACCTTGCTTTGTTACCACTCCTGTTCCAGGTCCAAGAAGAGTGCTAAAGCCACAAGGAAGGAGGTTGGCAGAAACCAAGGCATTGTCATAAGAATGTTTAAGTAGAGACCCTAACTTTATCCTTTGGCAGAATCTCTTCCTGTGGAGAATCTGGCCCATTTGCATAGTGTTCTTGTTTTTCCTGAGTCTGATCTGTATCTGTTTTATATTTTCTAGCCACCAGAGGATTAAAGTAAATTTGGAAGAATTCTAAATAATTTCCCTCCACCCCCACGTTAGCTTCATGTTAATATGAACCTATGATGTTGAAAAGAAGTTTTTTTTTTAATTATCTGAGGACAGCAGTCATCCATACTCTCTTACCACTGACTACCTGTGAATTAATTATCATCAAATATTCATCTGCCCAGGGTGAGTTACAAGTTTTGCTAGGTGTTTGGTGAATAATACAAATGCAGTTTATTTCCTTGTTTGATCTCTCATCTTGAGGTAATCAGCTAGAGAAGTAAAAATTATGGTTTGGTACTTAAATTTTTGTTGTTGTTGTTTGTTTATACTGTCTCTGTCCCATCTATATTAGATTTAAACTGCTTTTTAAATTTATTTTACCTTTCATATTTCCTCTGATAGAATCATATAATCATATTCTCTACCCATTTATCCACTGGGGATATTGGTAGTGTTTATCTATATGTTTGGAGATGATAACTATTTTCTGTTTATGGTGAACTTTTTTGTTTTCATTGTTAATTTTTTATTGCTTAGACTTTAAATGTTATATAACTATATTTTATTATTTAGTTTTATTTCTTATTTCTCCTTTTGCTCTAATTGTAGAAATTATCACTTTAAAGTGGGACTAAAAGCTGTATTCTTCCTTTAGGGTTCCATTTCCCACCACTCTGACATTCTCTGGACTCCAAAGCTCATGCCCGGTAATTCTTTTTTTAGTTGCCGTTGAACACAATATCTTTATTTATTTATTTTTATGTGGTGCTGAGGATCAAACCCAGCGCCTCACATGTGCTAGGCAAGCACTCTCCCACTGAGCCCCAGCCCTAGTCCTCCGGTACTTCTTCCCTATCATTCTTCCCTAACAGAAGGTTGAACTTGTTATGACTAAAGTTGTGCAGTTTATTGTTCACTTGTTTATCCTATATTCAGAACAATTTTCTGTTTTCTGTTGTTCAAGAGGCATGTGACTTAACATCATTCACACCCAGTTTCACTCACTCTTTTATTCATTCACTCACAAATTCACGTTTTCATTTACTATAGGTGGCCACAGACTCTAGGTGACCCTCAATGATCCCTGCTTCCTGATGTTCACACTTTGAGTGTGGACAAGTCTAATGACCTGCTTCTAACCAACATTATGGTAAAAATGATGGGGTGTCTTTCCTGTAATTGTGTTACATAATGTAAGGCTCTGTCTTGCTAGAAGACTTATTTTATATTCCTTGCTGGCTCGATGAAGTAAGCAGCCATGTTGGGAAAGCCCACATGATGAAGAAACTGGGGCAGAAGCTTGGATTCTTAGTCTTAGAGCCATAAAGAAATGATTCTGTCAAGAACATAAGTGGACTTGGAAGGGGTACCTTCCTCAGTCAAGACTGAATGAGAACACAAACCAGGAGACACTTGATTGCAACCTTGTGATTCCCTGAGTGGAGGACCTGTCTAATTCATTCCCTGACCTACAAAAGCTGTGAAAAAAAAAAAAAAAATGGTTGTTGTTTTAAGCCAATAAGGGTGTGGTAATTTTTTTTATGAATAGAAAATAAATACACTGTGCTACACTAAATACTATATGTGCATAGTCTCAGTGCTTAAAAATAATCTCCCAAATCTGATACTTACTAATATCCCCATTGTACATGTGAAGAAATTAAGGCTCAGGAATTGAACTCTTGAACATTCTGTTCTTTACCACAGATCATGACATGTTTTATTTTAACGTTTTTTGTTATTTCATTGTTTCAAATTTACAACTGGTTTAAAATATATCTTCTGTAACACAACTAATACATTTAGGAAAAATCTTACTTGGCACACCTTGCACACAAGGTAAATGCTTTTATAAATTCAATATTGTAAGGAACTGTCCTGTTTTTTACTATATCTTTTTACTATATACCTCCTAGAAATATTAGATATATGAATAGAGTTTCTCTTTTATATTAAAAGTGATAGACACGGGGGCTGAGGATATAGATGAGTTAATAGAGTGCTTGCCTCGCATGCACAAGACCCTGGTTCAATCCTCTCCACCCCCCACCTCCCCCCAAAAAGTGATAGACATGAGAAGGATCATGGGCTTCATATGCATGGGAATTTATCTGGAATAAGGGCCTTCAAATAAACACCAGAATGTGCAGGAGCTTGGATTCTGTCTTTAACTTTTCTATAAAACTAAAACATTTCGTCTATGTTCTAACTTTTTGTTTCTGATTAGGTATAGACATTTCATCTATGTTCTAACTTTTCGTTTCTAAGTAAGAATAGGGAAAGATTAGGAAGTGGAAAGATTTAAACACTATTTTTTTTACAACTAAAATCCTCTTTGGATTAGTGTTCTGAGGAATGAAGGTGGGATTGTGACCCCAGTATCATGTCTTCTAATGAGAGTCCTTTCTATTCTGCATTTATCAGATGTTAATTATTCATACTGCATGATTGAAGATTTTGGAGTCAGAGATTCACCTGCAATATTTGGAATACCAGTGAAGGTCTACATCAACACAGAATTTATACAGCAGCTGGTGCTAGTCAAAGCTAATGATGGAATTTCAGTTTAATAAAAAGACCCCCAACTGAGCACACCATCTTGAAAAAAGTATACTTATCAAACAGCTTTCAATCAGTTCAAGAGAGACACCTTAATTGGGAAGAGGAAGAATTGCAGAGCAGTTTGTCATCGTGCCAATTCCAGATCAATAACTGCAAGTCTGTTCTTTGATAGACATAGCTTTTGCTTTATATTAAGTAACCACGTCTACATCCTCTCCATTTGGATAAGGAGATCTTTGTTTCATTTTATAATGTGTAATGATATCCTCTTTTAATTCACCTCTGTGGCTTCACAATAAACATGATCAAAATTTAAGCATGTAATTATAAAGGTCAATATTATTTTTCATTCTTTAAATTTTCTGCTTCTTGTAATTGGAAAGCAGTACTTATAAACATTTTATATTTTAAAAGAATTGTTGAAATAAAACTATATGAAAAAATTAAATTATGCTGTTTCACTAAAATAAGAAACAATGATAATGTAATCTGTATAAGAGTCTTTTGAGGAAGACTGTGCAGAATAATCTACTATCAGGAAACAAAGAGTAAAGGGTTTACTTTTGGCAAGAAGAATCTGGAAATCTAAAGGAGAATATGATGCAAGTCTTAGTTTCCTTATTTTTCAGAAGATAGTCCTTCAACCTACTTATAGACTGCTGGTCTTAGTGATGCATTAGGGGGCACCATGGTCAGACTGAACAGGTGGAGGGGGCAGTGGGGGCAGCAAGGGTAGTGAATCAGGAGCCCAATATGAATATTAGGACCAAAGCCTGAGAGGGAGGTTTCTGTAGTTCCTTTTCTCATTTCCAATGAGGAATATATTTTCTCCTTCTCCTCCCCCCTCCCTCCCTCCTTCCCTCCTTTCCTCCCTGTTATCTATTTAGATAGATATAAATATTGACCTATTCATATTCTATGTAAGATTTCTTTTTGAAAAAACAGGATTCTATTACTAAAATATGGTTTGAAAATCACTGGACTAGATAGTTCTAAATCCTCTTCCTTCCATGTTTTGTTTGTCGAGAGATCCAGGTAAATATAGAAAGGGAGATTGAAATCTTTTTGAAATATACAGCAAATATTTATCTTGTTGAACTGTAGTTCTGCTAAGGGGCAAAGCTATGAGTTAAATGGTATCTTGCATTCCCTTTAAAATATATGAGATGATGATTAGTAGCTCAATTTTTTTTTCAGAGTAACTGTATAGAACAATTACCCTCATTTAAGCATTTAATCTATTAAATAATATCTGGGAAAATGGACAGAACTACAGCCTGATTTCAAAAATCAAAGCCTCCTCATATTTATAAAATCATATATGGTTAGAGCTGGTGGAATACTTGAGTTTGTTTCTTTCATTTTATATATTTACTCATTCATTAAATCAATAAACTTGTATTGAATGCGAGTTTGTACCAGTTGCCATGCTAGGTCTTAGGTCTACAGTATATTGTTCCTATCCATATAGAGATTATGCTTTAGTGGGAGAGACAAGCAATCAGACAAATAATCATACACATACAATTACAAATTTTTAAGTGCTATTAAGCAAAAGAATAGGGCTTTCTGAGATCATATGTTAGAGATTATGAGAAGATGGGCTGTAGAAAACAAAATGACTTGCCCCAAGTCATTGAGTGTGTACTGCAGGACTGGCACTAGACTGAGTCAAATGTTCTTGCTGTCTCAACAGTGAGGCCATAGAGGTTTAGATCATTAGTAAAGACAAAGTGATGGGAATCTGAAATCTGAATTTGAAGTTATTTTCTCTGACAAAACTGAAGAGTAGGGATACGTGGATCTGGCTGACACAGAGCCATATTCTTTAAAGATTCAACAATACACAGCCACATTAGTATCCTTTCACAAAAGGGAAGCTTTGCCTATATGGATGCCATCATCTGGGAAGCACCCTCCATCAGGTGGTAAAGTTTAAGTCCTCCCTAGTGTGTGACAGTATAAGTGATGGACCTCTCTCAATCTTGCCTAAATTATAGTCAAGTAACATTAGTTTGTAATGTTTCCTTTGTTCCTATACACACAGGTTTGCATTTTTATCATAATCAGAAATTATGTATATACACTATATATAAATCTTTGCATTAACGAATGAATGGGATTATAGCATACATGTTGGGTTTTTTTTTTTTGTATAGACTATTTTTTCTTCTCACCTTTTGGTAAAACTCCTCCTTTCCCATCTCTTTTCCTGTTCCTTCCATCCCCATCATAACCCATGCTATCAAACTAGCATCTATTTTTGCATATTTTATCCATGTACATATATATCCTTATCTATGACTATATGTACATGGATATAGAATGGATTTGTATACCTATATATGTATATACATTGCTATGCATAGGGTTTTAGGAAAACAAGATCATATTATATACCTTTTTCTACATTTTTAATTTTCAATAGAAAATATCTCAGAAGAATCCCCCCAAGTCAACAGTATAGTTCTACTTCATTTTCTACCTACTTATATGCTATGCATGTACTGAGATCTACTTTGTTTTCAGTTTTCTGATATGTTGGGATTAACCTTGGCTATGCGTCCCTGTGTTCTAGGGCTTTTATTTTTATAAGTAGTTTTCCAAAAGTATGAATTCTAAGTCAAAGTTATATGAACATTTAATTTCAATAAATGTTGCCAGATTGTTTTCCAAAAGTGATTATAACAATTCTCATTCTCAACAAGAGCACCATTTCCCCCCTGCAGTCATACCAAAATGGATGTTATCACTCTTTTATTTTTGCCAAACTGAGGATCATAAACCTCATTGTTACTGTATTACCCATTTCCCTAAATACTAGTGAATTTAAATGTCTTTTTGTAAATTTGTAGACCATCTGGTTATGCTCCTCTATGAATTGTATTTTCTTGTATGTATCTTAAGATAGCTAAATATACACATATTTTCTTTTTTAGCTTCTAAGTTTACTGTCAATTATTGGAGATTCTCCCATACATGTACATTTTTGAAGAATGTCTATTCTTTTTTTCTTTTTTGGTGCTAGGGAGTACACTCAGGGCCTTGCATGTGCTAAGTATGTGCTCTAATGCTAAGCTACTCTCAGTTCAATTTTTTATCTATATAAGTTTTTAATCTTCTTGAAATTATTTTTATATATGAATTCAACTTGATCCTTTTATACCATTTAAAAACATTTTACCTTTCCCCACTGGTTTGGATTATTATCTTTATCATTGGAATTTATTTCTGGGTTCTACATCCAGTTCCACTGATTTGTTTGTCTATTCCTCTGCAAACACATGATTTTTTTAGAGTCTTTACTATATCTTCTGATGGACACATAGAATAAGTAAGAAATAAATTTGGGTTGTGTTAAGTCACAGAGATTGTGAGGATATTTGTTATGGGAGTATCACCTAGCTCATACCCACACATAAGATTGTTGTGAGGTTTAAAGTCAGAAAGTGCACATAAAAACATGTATCCAAAGTCAGGAACGAAATATAGATCAATAAATATTATGCCAAATCATAAAGCTTTTCCCTCCCAACTCTTCTTTTTTAAGTTCTACCTAAAATTTATATTTTCAGGAATTTCTTTAGGTAAACTTTAAGGTTAATAAGCAAAAACAGAAGTTGTACACATTTCTCCTGGATAGAAGCTTTAGGAACCGTATGGGATTTGCTATGTCTTCTTTTCCTACTTTAGTGATGGCAGAAGTACTTGGTGAAATGAAACTTCTTTTGGCTTAAACTTGTGAGTGACAATAATAAATACAGCTATCCTAGTGACCATGTTGGACACAGAATGAGTGAGAAATAAACTTGTGTTGTGTAAGTCACAGAGATTATTAGAATACAATTATTTCAAATCACAACACTAGTGAAGCTACTCTCATGTCTTGAGACAGCAGTACCTTCTGGTTGTATGGTTTCATTTCTATGGTTAAGATACATATGTAGAAGAAACGTGTGCCCTGCTTGATCACCATTGCCCATACTGTAGTTAAAAGTTAGTGCTAATGCCAGTAAAAATGCAAATCATTTTACCTTGATGATAGTGCATTGATACAAGGAAAAAAACTTACAACACATCTGAAGATGATGATTTTTATCAGGGATTATAAATTGGTAGCCCATGGGCCAAACTTGGGCCACAGATGTGTTTCCATCACAGTGTTTTAAAAATCAAGGAAACTTCCTCTCCCCTCTTCTCCCCTGCTGGGAGCCATTAGCCAAGTAGGTATGACAATTTCCTTGCCAGCGTACCCCATGTTGCTTAGTGGAAGGACTCGTGGAAATAGGACATTTTGCAGTGACATTGCATGTAGGTGACCTTGCTCAAGGACCAGGGCGGATTAGGGTGTTCCCGGTTTAGGATAATCAGGTTTAGGGCGTTCCCGGTTTAGGTTCCAGGTTTAAGGTTTAAGATTATTCCTGCTGGGAATAGGGCGTATCCTGCTGCCTGAGTTCCCCTTGAGTTCTCACGGGATTCAGACAGTATTTTTTGGGAGACAGAAGCCCAGTGGGTGTGGATTTGGGCAGAGAACGTGGATTTCCCCAGAACATGATTGTAGATGGCTGGTGTGAGTTCGGGAATAAAGAGTTGCTGTTTGAATCTACAAGCTGTGTGGTGGCTCGTGATTTTGTGCCCAGCCAGACTGCGGCACTCCCCCCATACCCACCCAGCTTTATTACCCCCCCGCCCCCCACCCCAACACACTTCTGACTTCTCTTGAAAACCCTAGAATATATTACAACTCTAAAATCATATTTCTGCATCATCAAAATCTCTGGAGCTGAGTAACTGTATGGACGAGTTCACCAGACCCCTCTATCTCTTATTTACACCCAGTCTCCTCACCTATTTGCATTTCCTACTTGTCCAAGTATGCATAGGAATTTATGACTCCTGGGCATTTGTAATGAATGAAAATTTAACTATTTCTTCAGCAGTAGGGTGTACTGAGCTCTAGATACACAAAAGATGAAACATGAATGGAAAGAAGAGTGGGGTACTGATACCTAAATCATGTGTTACCTTTCTGATAAAACCAATTAGTGGAGGAAGAGACAGTTTTCTTCCTGCCTAAAAGAATTAACAGATCTTTGATATCTCAGAAACAATTTTCTTCATCAAATCAGTTCTAAACCACACAGGCTAATTAATTCTCTCAGACCCCTCATAGGGTGAGAATTCTAGAAGTACTATTAGTCAGAGAATGAACTAACATTTACAAAATCTTTGGTCATCTAGGAAAAATCCTTAAAAAATAAACTAATGAATTGTCATTCAAACCTGCAAGTGGAACCTCCCCACCTCATTCATTTAGGAAGGGGGATCCTAATAGAAAGGAGAGTGAATCAAAAGGTCTAGAATCTAGATTGTTCAGTGTATAATTCCTATGCAATTGCTTGAGCATTATCTAAAACCCTTCACATTCATATCCCTTGAAATCCCTCTTATGTTAATCATATTCATCATTTTGGCTCCATTTTCATTAAAAGAGAAAACATCTTCATGCCACTACCACCTTAGGGTCTGCTAGCTGACCCAGTTTTCAAAGGCAAAATCCCTCAACACAAATATGGCTCTTGTTACATATTCAACCAATGAAAGAAAGAAACAAACAAAAAATGCCTGTACAATATTTTTTAATCTTATTACAGATTACCAGGATACTTTATCACAATTTTACTAAAGTTCTAATTTAAATCAAGCCTTGGGAACCAAGGGAGAGTAATGGATACTGCTCCATAGTAAAAATGGTGTCTTCAGAATTACCTGGAACTGGTGATGGGTTTGAGACTAGGACATACTAGGATGTCTAGCAAGATACCTCTTTCTATTTGCTGAAGTTTTAAAGATCATGAAGAAGTCAAAAAGAGAATTTTTCCACCTGTAGTTTTCAAACACAGACTTCTTAAAAAATTCCCTTGGAAAACTTCATTATCACTGATAAGTTATTAAAATAACTTTTTCTCCAAATATAATAAAAAGCATTTTTCATAGGTCTGTTGTATAACATCAGTGGAATATACACACAAGAGAAAAGAGCTTCTTTCTATTTTTATTCTTGTTATAGTGAAGGCATGATTTTTGTTTTTATTCTGAGTTCATTTCCTTTTTAAAAGTACACTGGAAACCCTGTATAAATGAAAGGAATGTGTATAGTATGCAAATTCAAAGTGTGCTGTCCTCATTTACCCAGTGGAATTCAAAATAAGCCCCAACTTGTGAACATATTAAAGCAGATTGAAATGGATATTAGCGGGATTTGTAAGGAGAAGCACTCCAGTCAGTCAAACATGCTATGCACGAGAACTTTGATAATGTTGTTTTACTGATAATTACCTGCCTGCTGTCACCTCAAAGTGGGATTTCATGCAGGTTCCAGTATTTAAATATTATGTTCAGAGCCAAGCCTGCAGACACTTATACCAATCTGGCCATGTCCATTTTATTTCAAATTATCTGTGTCTTTCTTCCTGAGAAGCAACACAGTTAACTCCCTTTTAATTGTGTTTGAACTGTGTGGGCAGGAGAACAGCAATACCATGCTCCCTCTTCCCTGGTCTGGAGCAGGTTCTGCCCTCTCTCTCCCAGACACCAGCATTGCTGGAAAGAAACACTCCCTGACTAGCATGAATATTCAACTGACCTCAGAAACAAGTCGCTGGGCAAAGCAAACAACAGCCTAAAGGTAGCCTAAGCAAGGACCAATTTATGTGGCCCCCCTGTGCTGCTAGTGCTTGCCGCCTTACAGCACTGCAGAGAACTTCCTTTTTTTTTCTGTCACCGCCCCCCACTCACCCACTTTTTTTTTCTCATGCTGAACTCCTAATTAAATTTAACAGTTTCAAGAGTTTAAACTGTATACCTTTTTAATTGTGTCCTACTTTGTATTGGCTGATGCACAAGTCTGAAAATGGATATTACAGCTTTTTATGATATAATATCACCCTAATTGGTGCTTCATAGGCCGTGGCTGAATTCTTTTCAATTAAGCTCTAACATACAGTAACTGTTTCTCTCTGCAAATGCTGGAAAGCCATTCACAAGAGAGGACTGGTACTGCACAATTCCGAAGTACCTTAATGTGTCAAAAATGTTTTGTGAAGAAAGCTACACTGTAAATGCAATCACCTACATTGGTGTTCCCATTGTTAACTGGGAGTGAAAGTATTGCTAATTGTCCTGCGTTTTAGCTGGGTTTTTAAAGCATTATGTAGTAAGTACACCGGAGGGTCAATTTGTGAAGTGAAATACTTAGCATGCAAAGCGTAATACAAGATGCTGTGTAATACTTGACCTCTCAGCATAATAAATGTAGCAGTGAAACGCTGTGCATTCAGTATTCACTGAATAGAGCCTTCGCAGTGGAACAAAACCAGAAAATGTTCTCTTCATTCCTTTTTTTTTTTTCACTAAGCGAAAATTATTCTTTATAATGGCCATTGCAGCAATTAGCTGGCATTTGGTAGAATAAATGTGCAGAAATAGCAATTTCTTATTTTAAATGAGATTTTGTATGGAGCCTGCAAATTACTTGAGGTATATGAATAATTGTGCCTTAGCTTTATGCTACAGAATAGGGTGTGGGTGGGTATAAAGATTTCCTATTTGCAGTTAAATGTTTAGACATTTTATTATTTTAATTTCACTCACAGTCTGCCTGGATTGACCCTGCTTTCCCATTGATCATTTTATGTGCGCCTGGAAGCAAGTGTGCAGATGGCGGGAGACTCCCAATTAGTGCACCATGTTTTTCATGAATGTGACATGTAAGTGCAATCAGGTTTCCTTGGAGGCAACGGCAGTGTTTCAAGTTTGGGATCCTAAATCAATACAATTTAATAATCTGCGTGGAGTGAATGCTTATCAATATTCTCTATGGTCAAATGCAATTGGAAACTTCATTAAATTTTTATCCAAAGTTTTTCACCTTATTGA